CAAATTTGGCGTCATCTGTGGAGATTTCTTAGCAAAATTTTTAGTTCTCTCTAGATCTAAAACAAAGTTCCGCTTCCCGGTGGCCATAGCCCCACCCTGTATAAACACCAACTTGAGAAAGTTGTAGGCAAGCTTTTGAAGTAACCGAACCAATCAGGGTCAGATCTTTGCATGAAATCGAAATTATATCCGATATCTATACAAAATCCACGCCTCTTCTATAATGACGGGTTTAGCACGTCATATACATGTTCAAAGTGGGATCACGGTCACTACGCACTTAGCATGACCGCAATCCTATTTGTCGTATCTACTTTATAAGCCGACCTGTATCCGCACCTCTTAGGAAGGGACGATAGCCTACTATGTGATCCTTTAAAATAACGGGCGTATCCTGCCTTGTTTTCGTACCCATACGCACTATGTAATTTATGAACAAATATGACATGTTTCCCTTATTGGTTGCGCATATCGGACAGGATCGGATTGGGATTCGGTTTCGAGATCCCCACAGGAAAAACAGGTTCATCCCATGAGAAACCTAGACGCGATTAACGACGAAGCCAAACACGACTACCAAATCCAAAACCGCCATTCGAGCACGGGACGGCATGGAGCAACTCCTCGAGCTCACTGCATCTGCGGATAGACCGCATCAATTCCTCATCCCTTTTCTCCAACTCCTCCCTAACGGATTGAGTGCTACCGCCCGCCCTAAGCTGCGCGTGCATCTCATGGCACTTGGTGTGATACCGGTGATACTTTGCGGCCATTTTTAGAAAGACTTCGGCCCTAGTCTCAACCCTGCGAGCACTCTCGATCTCCAACATGTAAGTCTAAATGAGATACAAAAAAAGGGAGGAATCAACAAAAGCAAAATAGTACAAGACAAAGAAAAAGGCAAAAGGAAACTCACCCTAAAGGCCATCCCGGCCACACCACGTGACAAAGCGGAATCATTGAGCTCCCGTAAAGACTAACTTTTAGCGGCAGAACACAGAAGGTCAAACTGAGGCACCAACTCCACCGTGTCCTCCAACAGGTTAAAATCTGATGGAATCTCGAGTACACGAAAAGGACCCTCCGCCTCACATCGACCCTGTCAAAGCCTTCCTCGAACATCCGCATGTCCTCAGGATCGATGTCAGAATCCGACTCGTAATCATCCACCACCACGCCCTTCAGCCTTTCATTTGCCGAAGAGGGGGCGCGGCCTTGTTGAGATGACGATGGACCACTTAGAACAATGCGGCGGCCCCCGAACTCTGTCCCTTTGCCATGATGGTCTCCTCCACGGCCAAAATGGGCGTCGCCACTGCACCCAGGTCGGTGTCACCACCAGCTTCAGATACTGTCGCAGTGGGGTCGCCCCTGAAGGACGTCTCAATCAAAGATGCCCCGCTGCTAACCTTCGCCTCTTGGATGGTGCTTCTTCGCCACTATTGCGAGAAGGTTTGTCCGTTGAACGGACTGTGAGAACCGGGGGACCGGGGAACAACCTCCAAACAAACAGGTCCAGCAGCGGGCATGACCTGCCGAGTGACCAAACTGTGGGTTCCCTCACCCGCAGTTGCCTTTGGAATGGGCCGAGCAGAGGAAGTCGACCGGCGGAAAGCAAGCGTAGGAGCCCTCGCCCTTCTCACTCCTCTCCGACCTACCAATGAGAAGAGATTCGATCAAGCAAAGACCAGGTAAGAGAAAATACGGAGCAAAGAACAAAGTGATGGGCCACGACGAGCTGACTCACCAACAAGAGGCTTGCGCCCAAACTTCTCATGGAGAAGTGCCCATTCGCGAATCCCTGCTGTATGGGGAAGAATCTCGCTTACCCACTCGTGAATATCAGCAACTGGCAGAGGAGGTACTCTCTCGGCTACAAAAATAAAAACAAACCCTCAACAAGGTCATTAAAGGGAAACGACCGACGATCATCTCAAGAGAAATGCATAAAGTAAAAAAGAAAAGAAGACCTACGAGCGAAATTCCACGTCTCAGGAAACTCCGCCTGGTTTGACACGGCGTGCTCTGTTCGGATGTAGAAGAAGCTCTCCCAAAAGCGGTGATTTGCCTTGTCGTCCATTTTTACCACCAAACTCTTGGTTCCTCGGTGGCGCATGTGAATCATCGTACCCTAAGAAAATGGGGGGCGAAGAGGTGAAGCATATGTCGTAGAGAAATCTCTCGGCCGGCCAGCTCCGCGTACTTGATGAGCATAAGGAAAAGCTTGTACACATACGGAGAGAGTTGAGCCGGAAACACCTCATAGAAGCGGCAGAAATCCACCACCAAGGAAGGTAGGGGAAGCGTGTACCCGATGACAAACAGATGTGCATAAAATGCGCAGTAGCCCGCACGGTGTATATGCACTATGTCGTGGCCCTTCGGAACCAGTTCAATATGATCAGGAATCCCCTACTTGGCTTTGAACGCCGTGAGGGGCGCAGTGTCCATCGTAGAAGGAACAGGTTCCCGCTCATCTCCGGCAGGGCTATTAAAGTCAGTCCTCGCCTTCCCTGGACGGGGAACCACCTCATCCACCATCGGAAAACCCTCGTCTTCCGCCATTTCCACTCCCTCTCCGAGCATGGGTACATCATCTTCCGACACCGGAGCACCAGCAGCTCTATCAGAGTGGAAAGAAGCACTAGCCATTTTCTCTTTACCAAAGGAATGAGAATGATAAGGGAAAAAGTTGGTGGTCACAGCAAATCCTAACGGAAACAGAAATTTAAGAAACTGGAGAAGAAGAGTTGCAAAGTTCTCTTTTGAGCGATTAAGAAGTGTAACATTCAAATGAGAGATTCTCCCCTATTTATAGGGATATAAATGCCCTGAGCGGGACAACCAAGCGCCGTGAGTTAGAAAACTGAAAGGGCACGGAAAATGACGCAAAGCATGGGAAACATGCGCCATAATGACGCATGAGAAACATTAATGACATTCTGAACTGACTTAACGGCCTGACGCAGTTCTCGAAACGTCACGTCGCTATCTCGCCATGAGGTGCTCATCTCTCGCACAAAGCGTTCAGATCTCTCCTTCTCGAATTAACATAGTTCGCCCATCGAGCTCACCAAGAGCGACCTCAATAGGCGGAGGGACTAACTGTATGGGTCGAAATCTGACCACACGCGAATCAACATTAAAAGGAATGGCGAGGGGTCGACTAAGCCATGGTTGTATTCATATGACATCATGACAACGGGTATCTCGGCCGCTGCCGGGATCGAACTATCAGAAAGCTTGTACGACGAGGCATGTGTCGTAACATTTAAGGGAAACGACCCAACGCACGATGAACAGACTAAGACACTCTGGCTAAGAACCGTTGGATAAAAGGGAATACTTACTATATATATAGGGGGGGAGATAACAAGAAAGGGGGTCTCTCCCTACATAAAAAAGAGGCAGAAGAACCAGAGAATGCTACAAGAGAAAAAGAAGTTGCGGATCTAGGCTGCAAATCTTTGTAATCATCTTTCTTGAGTTAATAAAGATAGATCCCGCAACTATTAATGACATCTCATCTTTTCCATCTGTATTCTAGCATTACGGAACACTACATCATGAATGTAAACATGTCAGTTATATTTTATATCTTTTATAAGAATTAAAGGTTCATGAGCTTGACTATATCTTATTCTCCTATTCATTGCGCTTTGATCTAGAGTTAATTATCCTTGGCTAGGATTTGTCCTCTATTTTCTTATTAATTAGTTTAACAAAAAGCTTAACAGTTTTGGTCAAACACTAATTTATTTCAATTATTGTTACATAAATATATTTTTAAGGAGATATAAATTATAGTAATATAAAATGCATAATAACAACATATCCACGGGCTATATTGTTCTAATAACTTATCTATTTGCATAATTTGAGTACACTCCTAAAATTTAATTGAGTTTCATTAATATTTAAGCACATCAATGAAATCTGTAAGGAGTACAACATTCGGTACAACCTAATACTCAACCTTTATTGTTTGCTAGAAATGTAGTATCTAAGTAATTAATTATCGTAGATTAAACTATGAGTACGTAAAATCCTATGGCTATGTGTATTTTATTTTCGCATTTTCCATGCCAGTCTTAAATTATAATTCAGGTGGGCACCTATCTACGTGGATGATGACGACAATCTTTGTCTCAATTTTCTAACAAAAAATTCCTGTCGTAAAGATTTAAGATTGCAAGATAGAGAGTAGTAGTACTTAAATTATGTGTGTGTTTCTAAATTACATAACCACGATATTTAATTATTTATGGTCCCTTCAAATGCATGTAATAGTAAAATAACGTTTACTTACATGCGTTCAACATAACAATATGTCACTGTACTTAAAAACAAAAGAAAGATAGTACGTAGTACTTTTTTCACGAGTTTAATTAAAAGTGTGAACAAAAAATTGGCATTATCGGATCATTTAAAAAATAAGTATAAATAATATATTAAAATTAAAGAAATAACGCATTATTTGTTATAATATACTAAATATAATAACATAAAAATAAGTGAATTTTACTAATTCCCCCATTTTTCTCTTACAAAAATTTCCCCTTATATAAGAATTTCTCTACTCCCTCCCTCCCCTCCCTCCCCCTCCCCTCCCCCCTCCCCCCAGGCGGATCTACGATTTTAGTTTTATGAGTTCAGCATTTAAAGTTGGGTTCATATCTACTATTTATTGCAATTTTAGTTAAATAATATATTAAAATATAATAACATAAAAATAAGTGATTTTTCTAGTTCCCACATTTTTCTTTAAAAATATCTCCTTATATGAACTTCTCTGTTCCTCCCCCCCCCCCGAACCCCCCCAACCACAACCAAACAGCTTTTATTCAAAACTCGAGAGTTTTCTTCTTTCTTCCTTTCAGAATTATACATCTGCTTCTTTATCTCACTCTTGAAAGAAAACAAGAGTCAACTCAGAGAAGAACCAAATGAACCCCACAAAAACTCTTAGTCCAAGTTAGACCCCAACCCACCCACCCCTTGTCATATACCACCCTTACTCTTCTCTCTCTGTCTCTTTTTTTCTTTCTTAATTTTCTGTTTTTTCTTTCTTTCTCTCTCTTCCCCACCTTTCTCTCTTTCTTGAGTCTGGAAGAAGAGAGAAGGGAGATGGAGATGGGGTTGCTGAGAACTTAGAAACAAATATCATCCGACACAGAAAAAAGGCAAATAAAGAAAGATCAGTTTTCTTGAACCCACCAACAAAATTCTTGATTACCCCACCCACCCCCACATTCCAACCCCAGGCCACCACTCTCTCTCTCTCCCTAAAACTAAAATTATGGAACTCTCTGATTTACAAAACAACAATACTAATAGCACTAGTAAACAAAACAACAACAACAACAACACCACCTCCACCACCAACACCGCCCCTTCTCAACCTCTTCACCACCAGCATCAGCACCAGTATCAGCTTCTCTCCCACCACTTTCAACAACAACATGGCCGATCATCAGTTCCTTTTATGACCTCTATCTCCATCCAACCTTCTGCTCCACCTGGTCTTACTAATTCTGCTAGTCCTACTCCTACTGCTTCTACTAGTGCTTCTCCTTCTACTTCCTCTCCTACTCCTCCACCTCAGCAGCAGCCACCTCATCTAGTTGATGCTTCTCTTGCTATAGCCACTAGATCCGACTCACTGATTGACCAAAACAAGAAATCACAGCCCCAACAGCAGCAGCTGGCAATACAACAAACACAACCTGCGCAACAACAGCTGCAGACGCAGCCGCCGAAGAAACAAACCAAGGATCGGCACACCAAAGTTGACGGACGTGGGCGGCGCATCCGAATGCCAGCCGCCTGTGCAGCTAGGGTTTTCCAATTGACTCGAGAATTAGGCCATAAGTCCGACGGAGAAACCATCGAATGGCTCTTACATCAAGCCGAGCCAGCTATCATCGCTGCCACTGGCACCGGCACCATCCCAGCCAACTTTTCCACTCTAAACATATCCCTCCGTAGCAGCGGCTCCACTCTCTCGGCTCCTCCGTCTAAGTCAGCTCCACATTCGTTTCATAACGCTTTAGCCCTAGCCGCTGCTCACCATCCGTCTCATCCTTTTGAAGAAGGATTCTCCCACATGCTAGGGTTTCATCAAAATCCTCATCTTCTGACGGCAAATCCAATCGCCGAATCTATACAAGGAGGTGGTGGCGGTGGTAATAGCGGAGATGGTGGTGGAGGACAAGAGGGAACGGAGAATTACCTTCGGAAGAGATATCGAGAAGATTTGTTCAAAGAGGAAGGTTCAAGTAATCCACAAGGAGAAGCTTCTGGAGGATCTAGCTCACCTTCAAATAAGCAATTCAAGGGAAATTCTTCACAATTGCCTAAACCTTCCCAAGAAGCTGTAGCTGGACCATCAGCCAGTATGCTTCGGCATACTAATATGATGCCAGCTACTGGTTTGTGGGCAGTGGCACCACCGCCCACAAGTGGAACGACTGGCAGCCCGTTCTGGATGCTGCCAGTAACTGCTAGCGGTAGTGGACAGACGTTGTCCGCACCTATGGCAAGCACGTCAGGAACTACTACGCTCGAGTCTCAAATGTGGCCTTTTCCGATGGGTAGTTCAAATACGATGCAAGCACCGTTGCATTTCATGCCTAGGTTTAATCTTCCAACAAATCTTGAATTTCAAAGCGGGAGAGGAAATCCATTGCAACTAGGCTCAATGTTAATGCAGCAGCAACAACACCAACAACAACCATCTCAGCATCTTGGGCTGGGAATGTCTGAAAGTAATTTGGGTATGTTAGCAGCACTTAATGCTTATTCAAGAAGTGGTTTGAATATGAATTCAGACCATCAAAGTCACTCACTGGAACATCATCAGCAACATCAACAACAACATCAACCTCAACCTGCGGATAGCGAAGAGGATGATCCAAACAACTCCCAGTAATAGTTTGAAGTAAAATCTATATTATTGGTCAGTTCTTAATTCTTAGTTCTTTATAGTATATGTATATATCAAATTCTTAATTCTTTGTTTTCATAATTTGTTATGAATAATGGGTTGAATTTGTTGTGCAGGTTTTAAATTTCTAAAGTGTGATGAGTGAAAGTGCTTGAAAGATTCAGTTCATATGAATGAGGATTTCATGGAAGACAGACACAGAGGTATATGTTAGTTGTCATTTGGTTTTGTCTGTCATTATTACCTTTTTTTCTGTTTGTTTGTTTCTTTTTGAGAACCTTTTGCTAGAGAGTTGTGAAGAATTTGAAATGTATTTTGAGAACATTAGCTAGGACTGAAGAGAGAGATTTGTATAGGAGGATATATTTGTGTTTAGTATTTTTCAAAAGCTCAGCTTGCCGTTGTGTGTATGAGAAAAATGCAAAACCGGTTCAAAAAAGAATTATACAGATAATTCTGTACTATAATATCCAAGTATATTTGTTTAGTTTTTTGTATTCTTTTTTCAAATTTTATGTAGTGGATATAAAGACACCATTTTTTCTCAAAGTTACTGACAATGGATAGTAAAACAGGAAAAGCCCTTTTACATCATCTCTTTTTTCCCCACAGTGAAAGATGAGGAACTGGCAGCTTTACTTTTTAAATTTTCTTTCTCTTCTTTTTTATTCAGTTTTAATTTTTTGTTGTCCAGTTTTTTTTATTTTTTATTTTTATTTTTTTTTTAAACAAAGGGAAAGAAACAGAAACATTTGCTTCTATAGGAATGCATATAGAGGAGGATGCTATTGTATTTATGGTACTAAATAACTTTTTCTGGTTTCAATAATTTCCTTTTATTCTTTTCCCATGTGACTTCTCTACACTTTTCTGGATAGGAATTTCAAATATGCAAAATTCTGAAAAATCTAGTGTTAGTATTTATAGAAAGAAAGTACATCTCCAGCTTGTGTTTCTTGGATGGAAACTAGAGAGTGACATGAACTCAGTGAGTTTATAAATTAGGAAAAATGAAACTGTATAGCTGATATAAATAATAGCCGAAAAGACGTATATTATATTTTTTGTATATATATATATATATTCTGTATGTTATATACAAAATTCTACAAATTCTAATATATTTTTTCGGCTATGAAATGCAAATAGTTTCTGACGAGGTCTAAAAATGATAATATCCCTAGATTTTATACATACCGACATTGTAAAAAAAACATTCTTTTTGTATATTTAAATCGCTTATAACAAATTATTTACTGTATATTTTAGGTTAACAATAAGATTACTGTAAACAATTACTACCTACGAAGGTAGCTAATCTTAACTTGATGTTGGTAAAAATGTTGTACACGTCAGCACATAAGTTAAAACTCGTTTAGTCTCAAACTGTGTTCTCTTCTGAGGACTGTGTTCACACGTTCTGAGAGTGACATTTTGTATTTGACCTGTACAGTCAATTCACATAGACTTTCTCGTTTTCATTACTTAATCATTTTCTCGCATTTAATTATTATGGGTGAGGGTAGTTTTGTCCTTTTATTCTGGTTTTTGGACTATTTCTGCTTGTCTCCACTTACTAGTTTTTAAGTATTTTTTTAGCACATCTGGCAGCCCCATTTTGTCGTTAATTAGTGATTTGTTCGTACTAATAAATCATTTCATGTAAGCCCAAATGTCATTAATTATGAGATTTTAATACACCTCTGGCAAAATCTTGAATGGCACAGAAGAGAACAGACATTGTGTTCAAGATTTAGGTTTGTAAATTATAGTAGTGGGTCACATGTGACTACTGACTACCAAAAATTTTATACGGATGAATTATTATTTTGCCATTTGTGTCTTTTATTTTCTGGTTTTGAAAGTTTTATTAGTTGATGTACTCTACACTATATATGTGTAATGGTGACAACCTGCAAGAAATACTCCCTCCGGTCCAAAATAAGTGATTTTTGGATGTTTTCACACAGATTAAGAAATCCACCTTTTAGCATTAATTAGCAATGGAATTGACTATATTAACCTTTACTATCTCACATAAACACTCCTAACACATATTCTAACACTATATACTCCAAGGACAACGTAGGAAAAAAATAATTAATTCATTCTTGAAATCTGAAAAAATCACTTATTTTGGACCACAAGAAAAATGCCAAAAAATCACCTATTTTGGACCGGAGGGAGTAATATACTAGCACCAGGGGCGGATGCACTATTTTAATTATGGGTTGAATTGAACTTATAACTTTAAACGCACAGTATACGTTTATGTTAAAAATAGTAAATACGAACACCTTTAAAATATATGAGTTCAATATTAAAAATCTTAAAAGTTAAACTTATAGAATTTAAATCTTGGATATGACCTTAATTAATGTCATTATTTCTTAGCATTGGATTCTCTTTTGGATGGATGTTATTTATTGTAACGATTTCTAGGAACTGTATTCTCTGTCTCGTCAATATATGATTTATTAGAAAATTTTCCTTGCATATGATAATATAACAATAGATTTATGGTATTTAAAATCGACCATAGAGAAAAGTAGGTGACTAGGTCTATGACAAAACTTAGCTTTAATCAAAGTATTTACAAGGAATATTATTTTAGAAAAAACCCAGAAATGTGCATTGGGATGTGAAAACAATTCGGCGAGAATACACAGATACCACATGTTTGTCTGAAAGGCTGAGCAGCCACTATGAACTAGTGAGTCTTTTTATTTTTTAAGTTTAAACTTTTGTAATCAAAATTCATTGACAGACTAATCTAAATTCATACTGAATAAATTTAGTAAGAGGGCACAGACGTACAGTACTTCCTATGAAAAGTGGTTCATTCAGTTGGTTTAAACTTAAGATCTCTATGATTAAGTATAGAGGGATCATAATCATCTGATCGCCGCCCGGTGTGAGCTCTGATTGAAAAGGCTGCTGGTGAGAAAAATCAATCCCAAATCACGTAGAAAATTACTCACCCAACCAACTAAGCCAATCCTTACGAGCAATTTAATTATTCGTACTACTACTTGTCAATTGTCATAAAGAAAGACTTTGCCTCAAATTATACTAGTTAGAAATTTTTTATACTACTATAGTAGATTAGTAGTTAAGCTTCCATTAATCCGTGATTTTCGCAATGAAAGGCTGCACTATTGTGCCGATTGATGTTAACTTTATGGACTTATTTAATTATTACTCTTACGGCGGGGAAAACTAACATTTACGTTATCCTCATGGTTTACTAGTATTTGTGTTGACCACCAATTAACTAGGTGATAATTTGATATTCATTTGCTTAATACACCTGCATTTGAATTGTCATCCACCTACCAGAACTTGTGTGGAGTGAGATCTCCTGTACATTAAGCTGTATTGGAGTTTGTGGAGAACTTATAGCCTCTTTGCATGGCTAACCTTTTTAAAATCTAACTTATTTTGAAAGATATTTTTTAAAAAAAAGTTTTTTTTTTTTTGTTCAAAAAATAACTATTTATATTATATTAAGGTGGGTGAGTACAGGGAACATGTAAACAAAAAGATAGTGACCTAGGGGGTTGACCACTTAGGGGGTCATTACAGAGGGGGGTTCAGGGTAACTAAAACTATTACTACTACTGGTTTCCGTATCACAGGATAAACAAAAAGATGGTCCAGGAGGACTTTGCAAACTGAGTGATTGTGGTAGGGTTTTTGAGGGAACCCTTCTGACAAAAAGTTTGCCTGAGCGGTCGTCCTCCAAAGCTGTGCGGATAAAGGATGGAGGTTGTGTAAAAACAGTGATGCCGGCTGTGTCCATGTTGCATCCAGACTTAGCTAGTATATCTGCTACTTGATTTTGCTCCCTTTAAGTGGAACGTACAGTAGGATCATCCAGTCTCGCGAGGAGAGACCTGCACAACCATTTGTAATGTTAGCATATAATGGGTGTGAGGTCTGTGAAATGGTAGTGACTATTTGTGCATCAATGTTTATTTCTATAGGTTTATAGCCATAATTAACAGCTATTTATAATCCATGATAGAGGGCGCGTAATTCAGTTTCAACACTTCCATGAGAGATGTGGTGCCCTGAAAAACCCGTAATCCAATTGCCTGCGAAGTCTAGTATAACACCTCCCATCCCGCCCTGTCCAGTATTTACGTGTACTGAACCATCGGTATTTAGCTTGAAGGGTGTAGTGGTAGGTGGGTCCCATTTAAGGTATATTGGTGTGCGGCTGGGAGCGTGGGCGGGCATTCCTGGAATGTAGAAAAATTCCGCTGAGAGATTTAGAATGTGCGAGGAAGAGAGCGGTTTGTGAACTGAGCGAAAAACTTTAGTATTTCTAGTAAAAAGCAATTTATGTTTAATTAACTAATTTGAAAAAATACTTTTGAGTAGCAGCTAGTGTTTGACGGAAAATTTAAAAAGTATTTTTAAGTGTATTTTTCTCAAAAAGCTTATCTAGTATAAATATGAATTAATCGGTCTAATAGATTTTGAAACCCATATTCCAAAAAATGAAACTGTACTTGCATGGTCATTTACGTCAAAAGTTTTATTGGTGTTGACCTGATTGAGTGGCACTCAGGCCTCACCTCTTTAAAAAAAAATCTTATTACATTGTGGAGGTTACTGTTTTGGGAAACAGACTGGAGGACCACATTTTATGATTTCTTCTATTTTTTTCTTTGAGTATTTAGATGTAGTTTAGAGAATAGTAGTATTTTAATGTATTTAAGTGGACGAAGGGTATTGCCAAATGGTCACGGATGAAACAGTAGTAGTACTATATATATGCAACAATGCATAATATATGTCATGTATGTGTCTGTATGTGTGACTATATATAAATATATTCGGACTATTCTTTAGAAATTGGAGTTATTGTTATTATGAATTTGTTCCTTCACCCACGGTCTTCACGTGCACCCACTAAATGTACATTTTTTTGTACATCTTGTTTTGTTATTATCCACTCATTCTATGCCGTACTTTATCAGTTCCCTCCTACCGTTAAAAAAAGATCTAGATAATTAAAAAAAAAAAAATCAGCATTCGAGTATGTAATTGATGAATTGAAGAGAGAATATATAGTTATTAACCGCTGTTAAGTAAGAAAAAGTGTATATAAAATAGCAGATATGTTCTAAAAAAAAGTTCCTGTGTTTTTGTGGCACTAGATGTAGTAATCCTTAGTGTTTCCCATTAACTATATATATATTTACATTAAGTCAATACATTAATTTTCACAGAAAATTAGTGGGCGCAATGGTATTTTCCACTGATGCAAGACATAATTTTTCATACACACATTTATCATTTACTCATGGTTATTTGATACTTCATCTGTACGAGTTATGTGAACCTATTTCCTTTTTGGTCCGTTCAAAAAAGAATAACCCCATTCTATATTTGAAAACAATTTAGCTTAAACTTACAATTCTACACTTAATGAGAAGTTTTTATAACCACACAAATACTCTGGACCCCTTTTTGACT